TTTTTTTTTTTTTTCTTTTTAAGATCTTATTTCCGAAATCTCCAAATTTTCTATTTTTTAGTTTTACGTAGGCGCAAGCGGTTGTGCAATTATTTGCGTATGTAAACGTGTTTTATACGTACTTATAATATTTTCAATTTCGAGATGTGAGAGCATAAAATTTTATATAACATTAAATGTTTTAACGACCACACATTTTGCGCTATTATTAGAATAAACTTCTCTTTGTTTTACTCTGTTTTATTTTATAAATTATTTTATTTGAAAATTTATTGCCATTCTGTCGAAACAATCAAGAGAAATTTCTATATATTGGCGCACGGTCGAGCAAGAAAAATTGTAAGTGCAATCTGACAAAATATAGTCGTTAGTTTTAAACACTTCTCGAGAATCTTGGAACGATCGCGCGCTCAGTCCGATTTTCGGTAATTGGCGAATGTACCGTTCGTGTAAAATCCCGTTCTATCAGAAAGCGACGTAAACTATGTGGCCAAGAACTTCGGTCGCGCGCGCAAACGGCTTCCATGATTTATTATGCGCGCTCGATAGGAATCTAGGATCCGCAGAGAAGGGGACGAAACTAGAAGAGCGCGTACACGAACGAGATAACAAGCGCGCACGTGGAACGGACAGGTTGTAAAAGAGCATGTGAGCATGCCGCTCGCTATCGCGACAGTAAGTTATCGAACACCCGATATTATCACGAAGCAAATGAATACAATGCGCGGTTTATAAACGTTAACCTGATATATATATATATACTATATATATATTGAAGATACAACTCTGCAGGCACGTGCAATAAGGTGCATTCAGTTGATGGCGCCGAGAGAGAACATGCTTTGAAATGCGACTAGTTATTGAACTATTGGAATATATATACATGCATCAACTCGATACCGTCAATTGGCAAGGCATCAAACGAATCTTCAGTTCAAAATTTGGAATTAAAATAAACTTGATAAAATGTTTCTGAATCTTTGATATACGTTTATAATTTGTTTTTTTTTACTTATTTAAGATTTTTAAAATTTATTTAAGATTATTAAAATTAAAATTAAATTAAATATTATTTTTAATATATATATGTTGTCTAATTATCTGACATTATCTAATGTCAGTGTTGTATAAAAGATTCGTAAGGTCTAGTATGTATATTATATTTGCACACAAAATAATCAAAATCTTTTTTTTTTTGTTTTTTTTTGTTTTTTTAAGCGTTTTAGTGCTTCCTCGGACGTCTTTAACACATAGCGACTTTAGCTCAACTATATGTACGTGAACTGGTGTTACTGATCCTCCTCACGGATGTGTGTGACAACTTCCAGAAAATAAAGTGTGTATTGTATACATATACTTCATATAAAGATATGTATAAATATATAAAAATATACTTATCTTTATTTTATATGTATTTATAAGATAAAAAGTATATATACATATAAAAAAAAATATATAATAGACGGAAACTGCATTCGTTCAGTTTCGTGAGATTTCACGAAACAAATTCGCGTAATTCTTCAAAACGTTTCAATTTTACTTTTATTAGCAGAGATGAGAATTTTTAACAAAATTATTGTAAATTGGTCAAAAATTGATGCCAAATATCGAGAGAAATATGTAAATTTAAGATCGAAGATTCCGGATCACCTTATTTGCTGT